AATTTCCATGGGATCTGTGGTAATTTCCTTCCTTTTAGTCCTTATTGTGTGAATTTGGGTTTTTTCTTTTTTTTCTTGATAAGTTTAGCCAGAAACTTATCAATTTTGTTTATTCTCTCAAAAAAGCAGCTTTTGATTCATTAATTCTTTGTATTTTTTAAATATCAATTGCATTAATTTCTGCTTTGATCTTTACAATTTCCTCTCTTCTATGAGCTTTGGGTTTAACTTGCTCTTCTTTTTCTAGAAGCTTGAGATGTAGCATTAGGTTGTTTATTTGTGCTCATTCTGTTTTCTTGATATGACAATTTATTCCTATGTATTTCTCTCTAAGACTGCTTTCACTGCATCCTACAAATTATGGTATGTTGTTTCTATATTTTCATTGAATTTTAAGTATTGTTTTATTTCTCCTTTAATTTCATCTGTAACCCACTGGCTGTTCAGAAGGTTGTTATTTAATTTCCATGTATTTATGCAGGTTTTGCAATTTCTTTTGCCATTAACTTCCAATTTTAGTGCACTATGGTCAGATAATATGCATGGGATAATTTTAATCCCCTGCCATTTATTTAAGAATGTTTTATGGGTTATTATATGGTCTATTTTGGAGAATGTCTCATGCACAGCTGAGAAGAATGTATATTCTAATGTAGTTGGGTGGAATACTCTGTAAACATCTACTAGGTCCATTTGCTCCTAAGTATGATTCAATTCTATTATTTCTTTGCTGATTTTTGTCTAGTTGATCTATCTCTTTGTGACAATGGGGTGTTAAGATCTCGTTATAATTGTGTTTTTGTGAATTTGGTTTTTCATGTACATTAGTATTTGTCTTGCATGTTTGGGTGCTCCTGTATTTGGTACACACACACACACACACACACACACACACACACACACACATATATATAATTGTTAGTTCTTCCTCTTGAATTTTTCCACTAACAAGTATGTAGTGACCTTCTTTATCTCTTTTAATCATTTTAAGAGTGAAGTTCACGTTATCTGCAAATAGAATAGTTACCCCTCCTTTTTTCTGGGTTCCCATTGCATAAAATACTGTTTTCCATCCTTTGACTTTAAATCTATGAATTTCCTTTTGAGTCAGATGTGTCTCTTGTATACTGCATATTGTGTCCTGTTTCTTGATCCATTCTGTCAACCTATTTCTTTTGATAGGTGAATTGAAGTCATTTACATTTATGGATAGAACATATACTGGCTCAACTTTGCCATGTTATGTTCTAGTTGTTTGTTTTCTTTTTTCCCCTTGTTTAATTGCTTGTCCTGCCTGGTGGTTTCTTTCTGTTGTTGTTCTGGAGATTGTGGTCTTTTAATCTCTGTCTAGCATGTCTTTCAGTACTCTTTCTAGGATTGGTTTGGTGGACATATACTTCTTCAGTTGTTCTTTGTCATGGAAGTATCCTTTTTCTCCATTAAATTTAAAAGAAAGTTTTTCTGGGTACATCAATCTGGGTTGAAATTAGTTTTTTAAAGGGCTTGAAACACCTCACTGCAAGCTCATCTTCACTTGAGGGTTTATGCTGAAAAGTCTGCCATGAGTCTAATGGGTTTTCCTTGATAGGTGAGTTGTGTCTTTTCTCCAACAGCTTTTAGTATTCTGTTTTTATGTTGTATATCTGGGATCTTAATTACTATATGTCTACGGGTAGATTTATGTTGGTTGTGACTGATTGGCATTCTGTTTGCTTCACTTATCTGCATATCAGATTTTTCCCCCCATGTTTGGGAAATTTTCTGCTATTACTTCTGTGAATAGTTTACCTATGTCATTTTCATTGACTCCTGCATCTTCACTGATGTGTATTAATCTTATATTGTTTCTGTTGGCATCATCTTGAAGATGCTGGATTGTCATTTCATGCTGCTTTATTTTTAAAAGTTCTAGACTTTCATGATTGCTAATTGTGATCCTGTCCTCAAGGTCCAAAATTATATCTTCAGCTTCATTTAAATGGCTTTGCCAGTGTTCAATAGAATTTTTGTTTCTTGGATATTTCTTTGAGTTTGTTTCATGAATTCTGCCTGTTTTCTATATTGTTCATTCAATGTTTCAATCAGTTTCCCATGCTTCTGTACTTTTTTTTAAATTTATTTTTTCCCTAGCTGTGCTTAGCAACTTCTTTACTAAGGTTGTTATTTCTATCTTTACATGGGAGATTACTTCTAATTTGATTTCCTCTATAGCCTCATGGATTTGTCATTTTATTTCACTTGCTATCTTTTCAGAGGTTTCTTGTGTGTGACTTCTAAATTCCTCCATTTCAAAGTCTCCTTTACTTGCTCCTGGTGGACTAGATGTTTGAGATTGGATTTTGCTTTTTCATTTTTGTCATTTTCACTTTTCAGGCTAATATTTGGTCTTTCCATCCCACTAGTCTCATCTAAAAGTAGTGTGTATCTTAGGGTCCTGCTGTGGATTGGTGTTTGTCAACTGCTGGGTGCCACAATGAAGAGGTGAGCAAGTCACCTGAATTGCCTCTACTGGGCCTCTTCGGTGAGTCCTATATTCTTCCTAGGCTGGCAAACCTAGGAATACTGATGTAAATCAATCATTATTTCCTGCTGTTATGGTATTTTCAGTTTGTTCCAGGTCACCAGATCTCCATGTGTATAGTGTTTGTCTTGGCTGGGGCCCTGCTGTGTCACTGGGTGTCTCATAAGCCTTTTCTATTCCTCAACCTGCCTGATGTTCTCTGTGGAGGAAGGATTCACCCACACTCTTGCCAAGATCACCAAGATTCTACTTCTGGAAGGGGCTTGGCTATTACTCCTGTTTACCCACTGAAGGTGGGAAACTGTATTCCTATTTTAGGGACAAACTCACCACATTGATGAAAGCCTGCTGAGGTCTTCATTTGGATGAGAAGTTACTGAGTCTCACATTGATACACCAGGGTTAATCCCCTGCAGTCCAGTGTTCTGGAGGGAGGAGTGGGAGCTGAAACTCAACAGCAATACTAGGTCCAGATGGTGGTGGTGGGGGGCTCCCAGATGGCAGCAGCAACAGCAGGATGGTGGGGTTGCAGAAGGGGAGGGCTTGGAGAGCCTGACCTTGTGAGCCACTCCTGGTCCTGGGTCCTGTGGTGGATAGCAGGATGGTGGGGGTGCAGAAAGTGTGGGCTTGGGGGGCCAGCCTTGTGCACTGCTGCTTGTTTTGGGTCACATTTTTTTATTCGTAAGTTATAGATCCTCTTGTCACCTTCTAGCCTTTGTATTGTTACTTTCTGGTTCCTTGTTATTTTTAAGAGATCTTTCCTTTCATAATCACACATTGCAAACCTGTCTTCAAGATTTGACAGTCTGTCTTTAGTTTCTTTCAAGCAGTTTTATCAGCTTTAAATACAGTTCTTAATTTCCTGGTTATCTCTTTGAATCTGTTTCATGTATTCTAGATTTTTAAAATATTCTTCATTGAAGGTTTCTCTCCTTTTTCTATGCTCTTCCATTCTTCCATCTGTGTCTTCTTGGGAGTTACTTAGCATTTCTTTTGTTATTTTTCTTATCTTCCTTTACATGTACTAGTATTTCTGTTTTGAGTTCTTTTATAATGTCATGAAAATAATGCTTTTTTTTGGTACTGGGGATCAAACTCAGGACCTCATGCTTGCTACATAGGCACTTATGTCACTGAGCTAATTTCCCAGCCCACAAAAATAATTCTTTATGTCAGATGCTGCTTTTTCCAGGCACTGCAGGTGTGCAACTCCCAATCTCTTCTGTGTTTACCTCTCCTGGGCAGTACTGTTTGGGTTGGAGGCTGGAGACTTCCTTTTGTTTCTTCCTCTTGTCATGTTTCTGGTTTCTTCCAGATAAGTGGATAATGGGGGTCCCCAGCACTTCCTGTATTGGCTATGATCACTCTGAAGTGTGCTGAGATTGCTGCCCTCTCCAGTCTGCTGATGAAACCTGAAATACAACCTATCCCTCTTTTCTGAGATGGTCAACCACTGGGAGTCTTCACCACAATAATGTGTGCTGTGTGGACAGGACTGGTTAGATATAGCTTCAAGGAAATCTCGTCCTTGGCTATTGGATCGCATACAGGAGTGGGACTCAGCCCAAGCAGTTCTCACCAATCTGCTCTATGCTAGGAGTGGCTGACTGAAGCTGCTGCAGTTCTGGTTCCAGGCTTGTCCTGCCTGACTCCAAAATGTCACCTGGCCAATAGCCCACTCCCATGGAAGGACTAAGTTCCTTGCACTCACTGTGAGCCAGTGCAGATCTCCAAGTCAAGCCATTGCTGTTTTCTCCCACCGAGGCCCTTGGGCTTGCCAACCCCCAACCTCACTGCAACCTTTGGATTTCAGTGGCTTTTTGTACACAATGGGACTGTCTCCAGTGAAAGCATGTCTGGCTACAGCCTTTCATCCATGTTTTTCTTTTCTTTCTTTCCTTTAGTTCCTTCCTGGGTCAAAAGGATCCATCTCCTTTCATCTGGTGTTCTCCAGGATGTTTTATTTCAGCATCTGAGCTCTGTCTCTCAGAGAGGCTCCCTATTTTGCTGCTTCTGCCATCTTCTCAATTTCCAAGAGTTCATTTCTCTCCACCATTTTCTGAGAAGCCACAGCTGTTCTGCTGGTTTGATTTTAATGTAATTGTTAGATGATATGGTAGTTCTACATCTAAGATTTTGAGGAAACTCCATACTGTTTTCTATAATGGCTATGATAATTTACATGTCTATTAGCAGTGTATGAAAGCTTCCCCTTCTTCACATGTTATATGTTTTATTAAAATAATGCTCATTCTGAAATACCATGAGATATTTCATTGTGTTTTTGCATTTCCCTGATAATTAGTGATACTGAACATTTGTATATACTTGGCCACTGTTTTTTCTTTTGAGACTGTTCAGATTATTTGCTAATTTTAATATTAGATTATTATTATTTTGTTGTTTTGTGAATTCCTTATATATTCTGAATATTAACTCCTTGTCAAATAACCAGTTGTAAATATTTTCTTCTGTTTAGGTTGTCTCTTCATTAAATTGACTGTTTCCTTTGATGTGGAGAAGATTCTCAGCTTTAAATAATCCCATTTGTCAAAATTTACTTTTGTTAACTGTATTTTGTCACATTAAAATTTTTGAACTCGAATTATTGTCCTGAGGCATTCTTCTTATGTTTTCTTTTAGTAGTTTGGTTGCTTTGTCTCACATTTTAGTCATTGACCCATTATAAATTGATATCCCCTAAAACACCATTTGTTGTAGAGACTATCCTTTTCCAATGTATGTTCTTTGTATCCTTATTGAAAATCATTTGGCTATAAATAGGTGGACTTATTCCTGAATTCCCTATTGTGTTCCATTAGTGTATGTGTCTATTTTTGAGTCTGTACTATGTGGTTTTGGTTAGAGCTGTGTAGTATTTCCAAATTAGGTAGAGTGAAATCCTTATACTTTTTTTGCTTTGGCTATTCTTGAGCTTTTGTAGCTCCATACAAATTTGAGTTTTTAAAAAAAATTCTGTGAATAATATTATTGATGTTTTGATAAGAATTGCATTGAATATATAGATTGTTTTGGGTAGCATCTTTTCTGTTTTCAGATCAAGAATTTCAGTACAGTGTTGCCATGACCTTTTTAATATCTTCTTTTTTTTTTTTTTTTTTTTGTCTTTTTCCTTTTTATCGGTACCAGGGATCGAACTCACGACTGCATGCTTGCAAGGCAGGCGCTTATGCCGCTGAGCTAAATCCCCAGCCCCTTTTTAATATCTTCTAATAAAATTTAAACAAGTTTGAAGATGGTTTAAATGAGTTGGAACAAGAAGTTCAACTTACAAAGATTTGTATGGAGAAAACTATGATTCCTGAATATAAAGACAACTGAAACTAGATAAATGTCGTTCATATTTATGAAAACAAATTGACTTAGATAAGAAACACACATTAAAGAGGTAAACAAAACTTCTTGTAGATTTCAATTAAAAAATCAATGTAGTTTCAATCTGTCCCATTTTTTTCTGTCCTAGAACTTGGTACTTAGTAGATTTGCATTTTGGTAGATTTGTGTTTGTCAACTATGGATCATTTTCAACCATATCTTTTAAAAGTTTAAAAAATAGTTGCAGATACTGCATTCATATTCAGATAAAACACAAATGTTCATTACAGTTTGTTGTAACTGGAGAAGGGTTATGGGAAGTGTGTGACTTTAAAATAGAAAAATGCAGACATTTTCTAAGTTCCATCAGATGCTATATTCATTAAAGCATCTCAATACTAGACAATTGCAGGTTCACACATTATAGCAGAGATTCTGTAATTATAGTTGTCTAGAGATGCACACAATGTATGTTGTATTGGGGCATTACACAAAATTGCATTTGCTTGTTCAAATTAAAGTCTGAACTCTAAAAATTCAACAGGCATTTTTACCACTGATGAGAGTTTTAAAAACTCTCATGAGTCAGTAACCACAGCAAAGGACTGCATTAGACATAACTAGATCATTTCCCCTAATGTTTTAATATTCATGTCATGTTACTACCTGAAAATACACTAGAGTAATGGGCTGTTTGCAAAGAATATTGCAAGTACATGTGCTAATTGAATGTTTAATGTGATGATTGAGATAATTAAATGGATAATATATAAACATGCATTTAAAATATAAGCATTATATAGTCTCCCTAAATAAAAAACATGTTTCATTTAGATGACAGAGTATTTAATTTTCTACATATATGAAGAAGAATAATGGCATAAATATTTTAAAAATTTACATAAAATATTATTTACCTGATTTTGGAAAGCATTACTTAATTTTGCTTTTAGTTAAATTGCAAATATATTCTTGTAATTGTGTACTTTTAGGGGGCTGGGGATTTAGCTCAGCAGCATAAGTGTCTGCCTTGCAAGCAGGCAGTCGTGAGTTCGATGCCCAGTACCGATAAAAAGGAAAAGGACAAAAAAAAAAATTGTGTACTTTTAAAGCTAACATTAGCTTTAGTTCTAATTCAGAGAGCATTCACCAACTGATAGGAGGACACTTCATGTTCCCTAAATGGTTTTGTTTCAACTAGATTGCCTTCCCAAAAAAGTATCCAGCATATTTACTTCTGGGTACTGCTGTTTGTTTTTTAACTATGTAAAGACAAGAACTTCTATAGCACACAAACTTGGGTTTAAACTCTGTTAGTAGTTGTTACTAGCTTCACAACTCTGAATAAGTTCTTAAAACTTTAAAAGTTATCTTAATTTTTTTTTACCTAAAAATGTAAATAATAATGCTAGCATTTCTGAGCTGGTATAAATTGAATAAAATAATTTGTTCAGCAGATACATGGTATAGACAAAGAACTTGGAAATTACAGGTTATTATTAAGAAATACCTCCAAATCAGAGCTTCTCTGTCTGCTTCACTTTTTTTTTTAAGACAGGGGATCTAGCTAGGTAGTTCAGGCTGCCTGTGTACTCACTATATAGCTTAGGGTGGCCTCAAACTCACAGAGATCCTCTTGGCTCAGCCTCCTGTGCTGGAATTATGAACATGTGCCACCCTGCCTGGCTACCCCCTTTCCTTGTTAATTCTGCTTATCTAAATTCTAGATTAAGATGCACTGTAAACTCAGCCTTCTCTATGGATGATTCCTTGACTAATTTTCTTCAAACCTTTCTTTTCTTGTTGGCATAATGATGCACACCTACAATCTCAGCTACTTGAGAGGGTGACGCAGGATTGCAAATTTGAATCCAGTCTGGGCAACAGAGTGAAACTCTGATTCAAAATAAAAACAAACACAAACAAACAATGGGTGTTGTGGTATATTCCTGCAAATCTAACATTTATGGAAGTTAAGGCAGGAGGATTATACATTTGAGGACAATTTGGGTTACATAGTTCAAGTCACAAGTCTAGATTATATAGTAAGACCCTGTTTCAAAACAGAAAAAAGAAAAGAAAGAAAAGAAGAAAAAGAAAAAAGGCTATGAATGTAGCCTGGTTGGTTCAGTGGTAGAGTGTTTTTAATTGTGTTTCTAAAAGGCAGGAAGAATCATGCTCCTCTACACCAATGACTGTCAGTGTGACTTGCTCCATCCAATAACAGGTAAAATTAATTAATAAAAAGTGTCACAAGGGCGGAAGCTTTGGGAGCCTGTTTGTGCTTCAGTCATTCTCTTCATTTCTCTGCCAGGCACACTCCAGACAGTGGCTGCTCCTTTGACGTGGCCTGGAGGGAAGAGGCTGAAGGCACAGCCTTTCTGAGTGGTCTGGACTCAGCGAGAGCGCACTGTTGCACGGTGAGCCGCTCAGCTCGTAGGGCAGTTCATCCCCCAGCACCATTTTGAGTATCTTCACTCATACCATCACACTAAAGGTGTTTCATCCAATTTCCTTTTCTCCTAATTCAGTTCAGTCCCACCCAGGAAGGAGTGAGTGGGCGAGGTAAGAAAGGAATGAGAGGAAGAGAAAAGCCTGTTCTGTCATATTAAACCCGTAATGTCACCAGCTACCTATTTTACATTCTAATTTTCAAAATACACTTAACATTTTAGTTCATCATTTCCAGTCCATAGAAGCAAAATGTTAAGTGAGGTGATTATGGCAGATTAAAGTGTCCCCCACATTGATCTATTTATATCTTTTATTATTGTATATACCGATTGGTTTTGGGATCAATGGCCAAATAATCTTTAGTACTAAAAATTTTAACACATTTCTAATTGTGTTTTATACATATGTTTAGCTCAGATCTAATGATTTATTAGATTAAAGGTCTGTCTAATTAGCCCTCAGTGTACATATGTATAACCAAGTAGTCATTAATAAGGAAAAATGCTTCATTTCCAAAATGAATTTGAATTTCAAACTGCACATTTTGAACCAGCAAGCCAAACCCACCAGTATTGGTATATTCATCCAGTCTGAGGCTTCTGGCCTCATGGATCTTGGCCTTGACTTACCACTCTTCCCTTTCTCTCTGTCAGGGCTGGTTAGGCTCTTAAGCAATGAATTCTGAGTGTGGAATTATAACAGGAAGCCTCGTTATGTGACCTTCAACTTTGCTCTATGAAGATTTTCACCCATTCATACCACTTAGAAGTTGTCAGTTTTTTAATCTTATGTGATCTTGTGTCAATTACAAAATTTTAGAGAAGAGATGCAGTTATTTCCAATCAAAGAAGATTTAGAAACCTCGAATAAACAAGATATCACTTGATTTTCAGAGTCAATGTGTCAATGGTTTGTTCGTGAAGCTAAGGAGTCTACTTTGAGGAAACACACATCACCCATTTATTTATCACTTGTCTTAGTTACTTTTTTTGTTGCTGGGGACAAACACTCACACTCAACAAGTTGAGGGAGGAAAGGTTTATTTCACTCACAGTTTGTAGAGATTTCAGTGTGTAATCAGCAGGCTCCAAGGCAAGGTGGCTTTGCAGAGAACAATTCATGGCAGAAGCTAGCAAAGCAACAAGGGACCTTACCAACAGCTTGTATGCTGTATTGAGGCTACTTAGGTTGGGTAATACTCATATCCTTAATCCCAGAGCCTTTGAGTCTAGCATTGCACCATGAATCCATTCCAGCATGACGCGCCCTGGATCTAGCCACCTCTGAAAAAAGCCTCACTTACAACTGCACGAGGCGTTGGAGAGACATTTGGACACAAGCTATAACACCACTCCATCTCCAACATCCATACAATTCTTGGCACTTGGCATTTGCTAAAGGAAAGGATGGCAAATTTCTTAAAGTTCTGAGACAAATCTTTAGGGGACATCAAAGGATGATAGTTTCATAAGAGTTGTATGATTTTCTAATTTATATTTCCATCTGTATGGGCCCTAATGTTACCAGATATATCTGTGACATTTTATGACTGACTTTTAAAACAATCATATCAATACATTCAAAAGAGAATTGAGCTTCAGATTACCCACTCTAGGAAGTTCACTGCTGTGGCCATTGCTTACAGCATGTTATAAGCCCCACTTCTTCACAGCAGGCAATCCCTCGTAGGGCTGGTGCGTTTATATGACAGGTGTTGCCAGGTACTGTGCCTGGATGACACAGTCTGAACCCTGCCATGCCCTTCTGTTCATCCAATTCCTACCCTAAGGCAGCAACAGTTGGTAGATGCAATAA